CTCTCTTTATACGATGGTAAAAGGATAATTAGGACCACTTAATATCTTGATCCATGATTGGACCACAATCAACAAGCAAATCATATCAATGTACTTGTATCATGGGGCAAGATCCTTGACAACACATATGATTGGACCACAATCAACAAGCAAATCATATCAATGTACTTGTATAATGGGGCAAGATCCTTGACAACACATTTATAACATGACACCAAGCTTTTCTTGGTGGAGTTGGTGGAAAACTCACTTTGTAACTTTGAGGTCACAAGTTCGAGCCCCACCAACTACAAAATGCTTGGGAGTAAGGGGATTCCCTTACCTCCTCCCTCTACTCTCAAGTGATGACCTGCGGAGTTGGGCTAGCTAAACCTGTGAGAGGTGTCGGTTCAGTAGGGTCCTTCATCTTACCTTTAAAAAGAAAAAAAGAAAAAAAAATTCTAACGTGACAAGTTAGTTATGTATTTGCATTTCCTCCAAAATGTGAAATGTAACGAGTATTAATCCTTTTCTAACGGCTTGACAACATACTTATGAAAAGTAACGATTTTTTACTTAAAAAAAAGGAAAGTTTGTGACCAATCTATTCTAAAAGTGGAAATTGGTGTTGATATCTTTACATGTCTCCCTTCCATCATTTTCTTTGGGTGGTAGACTGGTTGCTAATGGACTAAAAAGTTCAAATTAGTATACTTTATACTCAAGTATCTTACTTACGACAACTAACATTGACGTGCCTCGTTTATTACTTCACTAGCTATACAACAACTAACATTAAATCTAATATGAGTAAACTCAAAATACGGTCCCTAAACTTTGCCAAAAGTTTAGATTTGGTCCCAAAAGTTTCAAGTGGCTAAATTTGGTCCCTCAACCACCAATGAGTCATCATCTGTGGTGGCTAGTACAATGACTCACCAAAGTTTAGGGACCTATTCATATTTAATTGCTTACTGGACCAAAGTTTAGGAACTTCAATTGATGACTGGACCAAAGTTGAAGGACTTGACCATATTTTGATGATTTCCATGATGATTGAACCAAAGTTGAGGGAAAACATGACGCAATTTATGACACAATTTATGGAAGCTAAAAGTTTAAGGGTTAATAAAATACTAAACTCGAAAACATGAACCAATGAATAGTGATTACCAAATTAAATATTTTTCTTGTTCACGTTTTTATTATAATTAAAATAAGTGTATTAAGCAATAAATTTGACAATAAATAAAAATTCAATTCACCGACTCCGGTGAGAATGCCGGAAAGCTTATTAAAGGCACACTTTGCACCCAAGTCATTAGTTTGTGGTGTTTTGGCTACTACTCAATGTACAGGGTCCTGCGTGCACTAAAGTCATAGTTCAGAGTGTTGAGGCCAATTTTGCCTTATATTTATTGCTAATCTTTCATTATTTTACTACTAAATATAATATTTGTATTTATAAACATATTTTCGCTTAATTCCAATTAAAGAGCACTCTCAATATACGTAGTACATTTGAACAACCTGTCATAATAAACATTTTTAGCAAAAAATTTAATTTGTGTATTACATGGGCTAAATATTAGTACACGGGTTAAATACTAGTACTTTTAAAAACAGGTTTTCTTTAAACCCTTATAAGTCTCGCTCTACCCCATAATTCAGCGATCGTATAAATACCCGACCCATTCATGTATTAGACCGATCTAACCCATTTGCAGCTGTGGTGGTAATCGTAAGGATGCTGAGGTATAACCGTTTTTTTTTTGTTTTTTTGAATTTATTTATAAGGAAAAATTAGAAAATAACAACACAAATTTCTCAAAAATTGAATTATAACACCACAAAAAACCCTAAAAATTGGATTTCATCTCCATCTAATGGTTTTTTGGATGAAATCCGTTAGTGGGACCCACCAAGTACACGTGTCACGCATTGATTAGCTTAAAAAACAAAAGAAAAATTAAAAAAAAAAAAAAACTAAACCTAAACTAGCACCAGCCCTACCACGACCCTACCGCTGGCAACCCAACTCTAGCCGAAAACCACCACTGCCCCACCTTGATCGGCGAAACAAAGCGACACCACCCCTACACTGGCGGCTCTACCCGTTCACCCCTTCCCCCTCCTCGAAAACAGCCCAACTTCTTCAAACCACCGCGAAAAACCACCCCCTTTTGCCCCACCCTTGAAGCGGCCAAATCGACCATTGAAATTTACCATTCGGGGTTTCCATGGTCGATTCCGACCATTTTGAGGGTGAAAGGATAAAGGAGAGGTGGTTTTTGCCGTTAGAATTCCGACCGTTGGTGTAACACCCCCAAATCTCCCTCTATGGAAATACCAGTATAATACGTATAATTATATCGTAGAGATAGACTTAGGCGTATTGCTACCGCGTGATTACGCAAGGCTACCAAAACTACTAACCAAAACCAATACTTTGCAACGGAAACTCAAGCTCTTTCTTTATTAATAATAACTATAAATAAAAACCATTGTCATGAGTACTCATAAATAAACAAAGACCAACAATCCTAATTCTAGGTGAAGAACATTTTCTGGACTCCCACATGCTCAAATATTGACTCCACCTTAAAATAGTCAACACTGCTTACCATTAAGATAACCAGGGCGAACCAAAACAAATAAGAATACGGATTAACAAAATATGCTAAGTACGATAAGTACAAGATAAGTAAATTCAATTTATTTGCAAACATGCTTTTAAAACCAATTCCAATAATATAATTCCAAAATTCATGATTCAAAACCAATTCCAATAATTCAATAAAACGATTTATAAAATCAATTCCTCCTTTGAAAACCAATTCCTCTTTTGAAAACCAATTTTCAAATATTCTCAAAACAATTCCGATAACTCAATAACTCAATAATAATGATTAGTAAAATCAATTATTTTCGAAAACTCAATCTCCTCTCTAAGTGTGCACACCCTCCAAGCTAGTCTCCTACTATTTCAAGGCTATTCATGAGGAAAGAGTAGGTCATACAAAGTCCATAGTCTTCAATGAATCCGCATAGTGGGATTTATATAATAATTTTGCTTGTAAAGCTTTTTAATAAAATCCTCTTTAAATTCCTCTTTGAATAAAATCAAACTTTTCAAAAACTCCTTTTGTATTTAATTCAACAAGATTTTTAAAATCAAACCCTTTTTTTTTTCAAAAACTCTTTTAAAACAATCCAACATACTTTTAAAAACCAAACTCTTTTAAACATAATAATTCAAAACATGATATAAAATCAATCCTCCAATTCATTTTTCAAAACCAATTTTCAAAACATGCTTTATTACATAAATCATAATTCAATTTAACTCAATCATCATAAAAATCATGTAAAACATGCTTGTTCAATCCAATCAATTTCAAAGGTATCTAGCCACCTAAATGTACCTTTGATCCTTGCTAGCAACACAAAAAGAAATTTCAAGAACTTTGATCAAACACACTCTACAAATAAATATAACCTTAATTAATATAAGGTTAACAAATAATCACAACAAAAACCCCCCCAACTATATGTAATGAACCTTATAATTTATTTTTCATAAACATGAATAAAAATCTGATTTTATTTAATTAAAACTACTCATAATAATTTTTATAAATCCCCCATAATAATAATAATAATTAATTTAATAAGAGAAGAGAAGAAGAAGAGGTAGAAAACCAAGGAAAAAAAGGAAGAAAGGTGGCGCATGGGGAGGCGGCTGGTGGCAGGTGGCCAAGGGTGGTGATCGGTGGTGGTTGTGGTGTTTGGTGGTGGTGATTGGCGCAAGAACAAGAGAGAAAGAGAGAAGAGAAATTAAGATCTAATTAGAGAATTTGGTGTGAGTGTTTAACCCTGAATCAAGGGGTATTTATAGACTAGCTCATGCAAGAATTATGGTAGGAGAATGTAGGAAGAATTATGGTAAAAAGAATTAAGGAATTACTTGGGGAAGAGAATTAAAGATTTATGGAAAGTTTTAATATTAAGGTGGCTAAGAATAATTAATTTTAGGAAAGTATGTTGTCATGAAAAATAATATAGCAAAAGGGGTTTACTTGGGGAATAATCAAGGATGAAATAAGGTAGGGAAATAAGATGATCAAAATTTAGAAGGTGGGAAATAAAAATTAAGGAAATAATAGATTTAAAGGAGATATTAAAAATACAAATTACCAAAATAATTTACCCAAAAATCCAACCATGGTGGCCGAAGTTTTTGAGCTTCCATAGCTCAAATTTTCGGACCACATTAGTATAATTTAGGAAGTTATTTTGCTATATTTAAGGAATTAAAAATAATTGTGTAAATAATATATTTTGTATAAAATAATTAATTAAAAAGGATACCAATTATTCACTAAATAAATTAACCAAAAAAAATCAGATTTTCCACACTAGGAAAATCCAAAATCCTTAGCTAATCATTAAGAATTTTCAGACCTATTAATTAAATAATAAAAATATAATTTTTGCTTTAATTAAAATATCCGAAATATTTATAAATAATTCGGTTTTTAAAAATAAAATAAATCCAAAACTAATAATTATGTTTTAAAATACTTTTGGCGCCAAAATTCAAATATCATTTTGGCTCCAAAATTCAAATAGTAAAATAAATTACTAAAATACTCTTTTAAGAAAATAATAATTAATTAATTAAATAATACGTTTCAAAAATACAGGGTATTACAGTTGGAGAGGGGTTGCCGGCGGCAGTGGTAGGGTTGCCGGTGGTGGGGCTAAGGGTTTAGGTTGTTTTTTTTTTTAATTTTTTTTAAACCCAATCAATGAGTGACACGTGTATTTGGTGGGTCCCACTAACAGATTTCATCCAAAAAAATCTGTTAGATAGTGGTGAAATCCAATTTTTGGGTTTTTTTTGTGGTGATATAATAAAAGTTTGAGATTTTGTGATGTTATAATCCAATTTTTGAGAAATTTGTGGTGTTATTTTCTTATTTATGTTTTAGACCCGACCCATTTACTTATTAGACGGATCTAACCCATTTATAACTGTGGCGGGTCATGGCTTTTAATAGGGCTACAATGCCTCCAAACCTACCTCTCTCTCAGTTCTCCATTGAAGCGCGCTCAACGTTCTCCGTTGAATCCCATTGAAGCAGCTTCTGAGGTAAGTTGTTTGTTTTTGTTATAATCTTATCAATTTCACAATCTAGGGTTCGAAAATCTCAACTATTGGTCCTAAATTCTAAGATAACAAAAATGAAATAAAATTATGAGCTTAATTTTTTTTTTTTTTTTTTTTTTGAAAGAATGAGCTTAATTTGATTATTGAATCAAATATTCCTAAAATTATGTGATTTTTCGTATCAAATTTGGTTGCTAAAATATCGCACAACCCTTTCGCTTTACTTTTTTTTTTTTTTTTTTTTTTCAATAAGACGGTCCAAAACCTAATATATGAATAGTTAACAAAAACCCTAATATTTTTACAGAGTCTCAGCCTCCATTTCTCTTCATTGCCTTTTGACTCCTCAATCTCTCTTCATTCGGTCTCACTTTCATTGGAGTATGATATTTAGGATTTTGAGATGTTAAACGTAATTATAATTATGAATTTGTGATATTTGTGCTAAAGAAATAATCTTTACTTTTGGTTGCTTTTCTGTAGGTGGGTATTTTGATTGTTTATCGCAATGAGAATTGAAAAGTGCTGGTTCTGTTCTTCCCAGATATACCCCGGCCATGGAATTCAGTTTGTTCGTAATGATGCTAAGGTATTACCGCTTTTTAAATTTTATTATTATTATTATTATTATTATTATTATTATTATTATTATTATTATTATTATTATTATTATTATTATTATTATTATTATTATTATTACGACGATTCATGTTAGCCGACCCCAAATCATATTGGGACTAAGGCTTTGCTGTTGTTGTTATGTTATACGTTTTGTTGGTATTCACAATTTTAAGCTGGCAAGTGATGAAATTGATGCACTTTGATCAGAAACTGTTGACCTTACAACTGATTATAACAGAACAAAGGCCCATTAATGTAACAAAATTCAGTTACAGCAATATCCCTTAACTTATGTTATAGCCAACTGAAGGACTTGTTCGTTAAACCAATGAGTAATAGCCTCCAAAGGAGGAGGCGTAGGTGGGGGCCTGATTCTTTCGATGAAATAACAACCAATGTACACCCTAACTTAACAGAATTTTTTTTTTTCAACAAGTTCTTAATATGACAATCGAGGTTTCTTGGGCAATTATTCACGAATTGCATGTATCACCAGACTTTTGTTTAGTGCCTTCATCTTTCATACGAACAGCTTCCATGTACACATCTTCATCACTTTTTGGATCTATTGTTTCCAACATCAGATCATTAGGTTGCCTTTAATACCAATCATGTTGACTCTTTCATTTCTTGTTACATTTGCCTTATTCTGCTCCATGGTTGATATGGGTATGTCAGAATTGACCCTGTCACCAATTGCCGAGCCTTTTAAAGAAGATGCTGAAGGGCTATCCTTTGAACCAGAGCTGTCATAATTACTCTTTGTCTGAAACAACTTGAACAGTTCCTCAAACTTGTCATCTATTCTTCTGAATTTGTCATCCATTTTCTTCAAAATTTCAGAATTCCATTGCTCCTGAGTATTCATTCTGCTCTCCAATGCTTTGATTTGCTGTTCCATGTTTGGTTTCTTCTTAAGAGCAGGCACCAATCTTCAAGAATGTACGCAAATTACCCAGAAAGATTTCTGAACAATTTTTTCACCTTGACAATTAATCAAACAGTTTGTGGGTATATTCCTTATTGCCCCCAGAATCTTAAAAGAACTTGCTGTGATTCTGATTCAATCAAAGAATGGATTGAATTTTGATTCAACTGGAACTCTAATGGAGTGTGGCTCTGATACCAATGATGCAGGATCAAAGATCACTGCTAAACTTTGATCAGAAATTGATCAAAGAAAACTTGGCTACTATTGCATCGTGTAGCTGAACAATATTGCTGTTATGTGTTAATTACTTTGAATTAATTTATTACCAAGTAGTAGGCTACTACTCTACTAGGCTGTGTTAGTCAGTGCTTCTCGCTTTCTCTTGGCTCTAAATTTCATAATGTAAATGAATAGTTGAAATAACACAAAGGTGTGAAGCCGCCGAGTTTGCTCATCATTCCATCATAGGCTGTTTAAAGATTTGACTCTATTGGCCACATACTTTCTGAAATTCAGTTGATGTTTTGTGTAGCTCTATAAAGATGTTGTACTCTTTGGTTGATTCTTGAGTTCTTTTCATCACTAGGCCAATGCGTAAACTATGCATAAGAAACTTTAATTTTGAATAGTTATTACTGAATGGAAAATTAGTTCTATAGCTTAGTTTTTATCACTGCAAAGTGATACTATTAAATGCATTTTATATTAAAGCCGCCCCACCGACTACCTACCTAGTTCATGTATAATCCCTAAGGACTACATTTCTACTTAAAAATGATATCTTATTGCTACTTGGTTCATTTTCTTAATTCTTTTTCAAATTGTTTCCTTCCCAGATTTTTAGATTTTGTAGATCCAAATGTCACAAAAACTTTAAAATGAAGAGGAATCCTCGCAAGGTTCAGTGGACCAAAGCTTACCGAAGATTGCATGGAAAGGATATGACACAGGTATGATCGTTGATGCAAATCATGCAATTGGTATTTACTAAATATTACAGTAAATTTCAATATTCTTTGTGTTGTTTATTAATGCTGTTGCTGCAACTTGCCTGTGTGTATTCGGTTTCCTAGGACTCTACTTTTGAGTTTGAGAGGAAGCGTAATAGGCCAGAAAGATACGACAGGACTCTTGCTGAGAATACATTGAAGGCAATTAAAACTATTGACAAGGTCAGAACATCGAGATCTGAGAGTCATATCAAGAAGAGGTCAGTTCTCATTCTTCTATATCAGTAGCTGCTTGAGCAGAAAAGTTGGAATTGTTAAATTCTTTTGTATAGAAACTGTTCTTTATTTAATTCTCTTTTTTTTTTTTAATTTTTTTTTTTTTTTGCAGGATGAAGGGAAACCCACGCAGAGAGCAGGACAGAGCACGGAAAGAACTGGAACAGGACATCCTCCTGGTCAGCAATACCATGACTCTAAAAGAAGACCCTTCTCTTGTTTTACCAAAGATCAAAGTCCCCAAGACTTCAAATCAACAAGAAAATCTTGCAATGGAAGAGTAATTTGTCTGTGGCTGGGTATAGAAGCAATTTACAACTTGTGGTTCATTTTTGTAGTAGCCTTTAGCTGAACCTGTAATGCTCTGAATACTGTGAATTTGTTGATCTTCAGCTTTTGCTGACACACTGGTCGTACTTCAAAGAGTGATTTTCTTTTTGTTTCATTTTTATATTAATATTGTATTTAACCTTTGTTGATTTATGTTCTGATGAATTTTACTCTAAACTCTCATAAATATCGATACCAGACTGAGCTTTAATAGTTCTATCAATGTGTATGAGATAGGTTGCCTGCATTTGTTGCTGGTTTTTCGTGATATGTTGGTTTGCAGTGTATGATTCTGAATGTCTAGTGTCATGTGGTAAGAGAATGTTGAAGACCCAGTGGCCAGTGATGCATTGAGATGATGCGGATATTTGCCAAAAAAATATAGTGTGCAGTGTGCACATCACATGCGCCGCTTCTCATTGGATGGATGTGAGATTTTTTATCGCCCAGGCTTGCTCCTGAGCTCATAGCTCAGAAGTTTTTGTTAGTAACTGCCTTCTGGCCCTTAAGTGGATACATTTTTAACTGTGCTCATTTCAATTACGCGTAGTTGTATATTTGCTTATTGTCAGAACTGCTCGTCAAACATAATATGTTTGCTCTCAGTCTCATGTTAGTATAAGTGATATACTGAGCAAAGCTGGTTTGAAAATTATGCACGGTTGGTCCAATAAAGTTCGGCTTGAAAAGACCGTTGACGAGCTCAATTTTTTCCCAATTAAATTTTTTAATGTACGAGAATTATAACAATTTCCAAGTATACAAGTTCCTTTTATGGGTCTGATTTTGGAATCACAGCTCACCCTAATATTTTCTTGCTGATGCTTGTGCGCTTTAATTTCTTGTAATGCAACATTGCCAATTTTCCATCATATATGACTTTCGTTTGCAAAGCTAGGGTGCATGGATTGTCTCCATCTTTGTATATTGATTTAACATCTCTTTGAGAACTCTTTGTTTACTATATGCCTTCTGTTGAATTGTTGATACAATCATACAAGCACTAGTTCTTTTTTTTTTTTTTTTGGTTGTTTATTTATCCAACATGTACACCTTTAACAATAATACATAAAGATGGCTCTGGACCGTGTCGGGTCGTACCTCGTGCCAGGGCCACATGCTTTGGTTAGTTAGGCCCGACCTATGACTCGGCCCACGAGTTTCGTGTCGTGCAGGGCCGAAGTTTTCAAAAGTTTGGCCCGTGCACGGTCCAAACCCACGTGCCATCGTGCCGAGCAGTGCCGGGCTTGCGTGTCTAAGCAAAATTGCATTGATTTTAGCATGGTTTGTCGTGCCGGGCTCGGTCATGTCGTGCCTTATCATGCTTCTCCCAAATAAAGGCGGCCCATGGCCCACACGCACAATACCGTGCCGTTCGTGCTTTTTACGTGCTCGTGTCGTGCCGTGCTTTTTTCCTGATGGGCCATGTCGGGCTTCAGGCTGGCCCAACCCAATGCTATCTTTAATAATACATTGTATGGATTCTTGCTAATTTGTCTCAATATACCCTTAAAAACCAGGTAAATAAAGAACTTAGAACTGTATAGGAAAACGACGAGTTTTCTTGAAAATTACGATATAATATATGTAAAACTTTTTTAAAAGACAATTAAAAATAAATGAACTATTATGAGTAACTTTTATACAAGTATATAATACTTGTATAAAGTAAGAAGTAAAACATAAAGTATTTTTTTGTAAGGCTAGAGTTTAATACAAGTACCAAAACTAGATTAGTACTTGTAGTACTCATGTGGTGCACCATTAGGGAAAAAAAAAACATTTCTAAATCGTGCAACAAAGTTATTTTGTGACAAATCACATAAAAGAGTGTTTTTGTAGAGAGAAAAGTCATTAATGCGTTAATTAGAAATAAAAATTAATTTTGAAGGGAATTTTTTAATAAAAGAATAACACGTCTCAGGATTTTTATATTAGCAATAGTTGTAATTTTATTTATTATTTTTCTGAAATATTCCATATGAATATATAATACACAAATTAAGGATAAGTTGAGGGACAACGATAACCATACGACACTAAAAACCATAACTCCACTTCAAAAATAACCAACAAAAAACCCCAATTGTTTTCAAAAAAAAAAAAAACAAAAACAAAAAACCCCAATTGTTTTCAAAAAAAAAAAAAACAAAAACAAAAAACCCCCATTAGCGCCAAAATTAATCAAAAACAAAACCCTAATTTCAATTCCACACAATCAAATGCTCGCCATTTCACCTTCTTCCTTCTTGATCATACCAAAATCTTCCCAAGTTAGAATTTCTTCAGCATTAAACCCTAAATTCTCGACCATTCGATCGTCTTCCTCCGTAAATGAGGCAGTGTTGGAGAACAGACAACCAGAATCTTCGGCGGATTTTCCGGCGATAAAGGCGGCGAAGAGGGTGGTGTTGGTGAGACATGGACAGAGTACGTGGAATGCTGAGGGAAGAATTCAAGGTAGCTCGAATTTCTCTGTTCTTACTACTAAGGGCGAGGCTCAAGCTGAAACTTCTCGCCAGATGCTTCTCGAAGATTCCTTTGATGTCTGCTTCACTAGGTATTTTTTCCATTTTCTTGGTGTTGATTTTTCGATTTTATGGTTTTGATTGATTTTATGTTATTATGTTCGAAAATTAGAAATTCAGGGTTTAGAATTAAATGGGAAATTTATATATTCAAGCAATCCTTTGATTGTAGGCTGAGTTGAGTGAGTTCATGTATAGTAGCAAAGTAGCAATTAATGTTAAAATCGCGGTCCGGATAGTAGAATGGTATGATTCTACTGCAATCCGAATATGGATGGCTAAATGACTTGAATAACAACCACTAATTGAGTAATCGTGTCGTGTTGGAAAGTAGCATTGTTACTATCCCGGATGATCTTGTATTGTATAAGTGTGTAACTTGTATACTCTTGGCATAACTCTATCAAAGTTGGGTTATTTTGGGAAATTCAATCATGAACCATTGCATTACTAACTACAAGTACTATTTTTTGAGGATGACAATTGTTTCTTACATTCTAGAATTATACATGTGACTATTATATGGGGACAGAACTTTGAAATGTGGAGTAGTTGTTTTGATACCTCATCCTTGAAAGTAATTCAAGTAATTTCAATACGTTTTAGTAGCCTTCTCAAACTGTATAGTGTGTTATACTACTGACGCTCAAGGCAGCAGCAATAGCAATATCAATTTGAATCAGCATATAAACTATGACTATCTTGTGAGTGTTATGACTGTTCCCAGTCAGGAGGAGCTGAACACCTTGCAAACTTCTACCCTTTTTGTAAACTTTTCTTCATTCTTCAGTATCTATCATGTAACCTTATATACAGCTACAAATATCTATAAGAAAGACAGACTAATTCAGCCAATTATGCATGAACTGTCTAACATTGCAAATTTGATTATAAATTTGAGAGTCAGTGAGGCTAACTTCGGAGAGGAGTAACCTAAGTGTGCTACCCTCTCCTTTCCAAGAAACTCTGTGATTGAGTCAACATAATGCTGGTTTGGACTCACATCTTGACTAACTCGGCTCATATGAATCGTAACTAGGTAAGCCCTATTTGATCTACAAAACACAGATTCAATCCAAAGAGAGTGCATCAGGCCCTTAGTTGATCCCTTCTCTTTTAAAAAACATATTCGCCCAACCATACTCCCTTTTTTCCATAATGCTAAAACACTGTTGTTTTAATTCTGCTCATCAATTATGCACCTTATAATTTTTAAAAAGTCGGCTAGGATAAGTACTGTGGGGCGTAAAGGGGTATGCATTAGCTATAGCTTGAGAGTCTGCCACTATTGGAATGTGTATCGTCCCAGAAGCAGACTAGTCAAGTACTGAACAGAAACAGATCATAGCAACAAAAAAACACCTTCATTGATGAAGTACACCAAATCCAGAAATAGACTTACTTGGCACACATATTAGCCATATCACTCATATTGATGCAACCAAAAATACCAAACAGGCTCACAACACTATCATCTGAATGAAACCGTAATGTCTCAATATTGTTACACTTAGACCAGTCATTGACAGGAAAACTAATGCTACTTCTTTACACGATATTGAACTTTGTGATTTTGTTTTTGATCTAGAAATGTCTTTGGATATGTAGATAGGGTAATTTTGTTTTTATTATTCTTCAAATCAATGATTGGTTGGGTAGCTGATATTGCTGATGAATGGACTTTAGGAGCAGGAATTAGTGTTGCATCCAATGGTTTTCGGATCCTGTTTCCTGTCTTGTGCAATACAACGTGGCATGTGTGTAAACTGCTTTGTAAATTTCTAAACATGCACATCTTTGGGGGGGGGGGGGGAGGGAGGGGGAATAGAAGTGAAAGCTTGGGTGAAAGGTATAAAATATGATTGAACGTGAAAGACAAAGTCTCCCTTGTTCAAATTTGGGTACAAGGTCATAAGGATTGTGTATTATGGTCAAATCTGGATTTTACAGAAGTTCCACGTGCTTTTTCTCTGATAAGATGTGTTTGAATTTATGAGAAATTTGCAATGAAGGTATTTTAGACTTTGAATGAACTGTTTGAGTAATATGGGTGGTAATAAGCATAGGTTTTGTTTAGGTGGTGATTGGTTAATTCTGAGGTCAAAACTATAGTGAGTGCCACAAATACAGTAAATGATGGGATATGGCCAATGATAAAGTCAAAATTTTGAGGACATAAGCTTTCCCCTCTTTTGCCTTTTTTATATATGGAAAGCATTTTGGCTATGAGGCTTGAGGTGTAATATCAGAAGCAACATGGAATTTGTTAAATGATATTGTCCCAAAATCTGAACAACCACAATTTTTTTGCCATTTTTCTGCTCTTAGTTTGAGGTTATCTCTTGACTGCTATTTATTTTGTTGTTGCAGTCCTCTGACTAGATCAAAACGAACAGCTGAAATTATTTGGGGTAGCCGTAAGGAGCCAATGATCCCAGATGTCGACCTGAGGGAAATAGACCTGTATATTTTTCAAGTTGAGTATGATTTTCCATTTTAAGTAGATGGAACCTTCAATAAAATTAGGATTGTCATGATCCTGTAACTCCAGTTATTGATGCATTTGATTGTCTGTAGGGGCTCTTAAAACATGAGGGGGAGGAGAAATTCGGTACTGCATTTCGTCAATGGAAGCTAGATGCTCCAAACTTTGTCATTGATGGTCATTATCCCGTCAGGGAGTTGTGGACACGTGCCAGAAGCTGTTGGGACAGAATTTTAGCGCATCAAAGCAATTCAGTACTTGTTGTTGCTCACAATGCCGTGAATCAAGCTCTTGTTGCAACAGCAATTGGTAAATTTTTATTTTCTTGTTTGATGTTTAAGATCTATACATACGCATGTTTTCTTAATTCTTTTTTCATGTCTTTTTCTCTCATTAGGCTTAGGAACTGAGTATTTCAGAGTTTTACTTCAGAGTAACTGTGGTGTGAGTGTGTTAGATTTCATTCCTCAGGCAGAGAACAAGTCTCCATATATCTGCCTTAATCGTTTAAATCAGGTACAGAAGCCTTACATTTGACTGTGCTATGGCTCTTTATTCTAGTTTAAATACCTTTGGCCAGTGAGCCTTTTGTTTGTAGTTCAGTAAAGTAATTGACGTTTTACTTGACATATTGTCTAAAACATGCTTTAATTTTTCTCTTATTGGTAATAGTTTTGCTTGTTAAAAGCAATGAGGGAGTATTTAGTAAACTACTATATGAAATCGTCAATTCTCTCCAGTCTTTCATCCTTCGCCTCCAGCAAGCTTTTGGGCACAAAACATGCCAAGGAAAGCAGTATATCCTCTTGAATCTCATTAGGTCATATGTCAAATTTAAGAAAGGCTGCATTGTTTTGAACTGAAGTAAATTGTACTTAACTTTTCTAAACTGGAATGTAAGCATTAGTTGCATTACTTAATTGAACTAAAGTGAACTGACCTTATCTGACCTGACTTTTTGCCCTTAAATTTAATTTAGTTGAACTGATCTAATTAATATTTTTGAATTGAACTGAATCCGAATGAGTAAAAGTAATCTAAAATACATCCCAAAGCTCCTAGGATTTGCTGGGGAAACATGTTAATTTGGCTTTTGTTTTAATCAATGACTTTCATGCACCTCCTTTCTCCTTTGCACTGTCTGAATTTCTGAAACATGAGTACATTATTATTCGTATGCGGTATTATAAAAAAAAAAAAAAATACAAAAAAGTATCTAAGAATGCTATCAGTGAAGTTCCACCATGCGAGCATTGTTTAATTGTCATTTCCTTTATGACGTTCTTTTTCATTATTGATGATTGTTAAGTGGATCTTTTTTATTTTATGACATGTAATGGTTGTACTGCAGACTCCTAATTCACCTATTGCTGCTGGAAGTTCTGCAGGTCGGAAAGCCAGTAAGCGCATCATCCTAGTTACTCATGGATCATTAGTGAACAATGAGGTGTGCAAGTAACTTACTATTCTGTATATCGCTGTGCATCTGTTTCTCATCATTATTTATTTAATAAGAGTATAAATAAGATAGTATGAATTCCATGCAGTTGAACTTGAAGCTATACATAAATTTATTGTGATTCAAGCAAATGCTTGTAATATGGTTTTCCAGATATGATGTGGAAAAGGCTACAAGATAGTATATAACATATCAGCTGACCTGGCGATTAAGAAGCAAATACTAATTGGGTGTTCATATAATCATATGCATATATTCTTGGAAGGTGTAGAGGAGGGTTCTAAATCTTGAAATTATCAAATTCTGTTCTGTTTCACCCTGAAATTTCATCATAGTTGATTAAATTTAAATATGTCTAGTCTCTTACAACTTTTGTATGTCTTTTCCGAAAATTTAGTTCTGAACTTCAGGTAATTTTTTCAACAGGCTAATCTCCCTCGTCTTGGGAATCAACCTTTGAGCATGCTTGGCAGCATTCAGGTGACTCAAACTTGATTGCCTTATGTTAGGTATCTATTGATGCTTGTTACCTAAACTCATTCTTGAATGATAACAGTCACAGAAAACTGCAGAGCTACTTCTTGATTTGAAAGTGGATACAGTAGTTAGCAGCCCTGGAAAGGCCTCAATGGAGACAGCACAAATCATATCCAAGGTAAGCTGATCGAACTTTTCGAGGCCATTTTCCCTATTTCATCTTTCTTTATGTCATTACATGTACTAGTTCTTATTCTGCATTATGAGATGCAACTACTGACCTCTGATTCTTTTTATTAGACTCAAGAAGCTGCAGAGAGCTTGGGAGCTGATAGTGTACCCCGATATGTGAATGTTAAAGAGATGAAGGACCTTGATGTGGAAACCATGCTTGGCCAGTTAAAACAAGTAAGCTTCCATAAAATAAAAGAATAGAAAAGAAAAGAAAAAATGAGGGCTGCAATACAGGTCATGCAACACTCAACAGAAATGCCACACTTTCTAATTTCCTATCTCTTCCCCCACCTTTAATTACAGGGAGCAGCTGTTGATTCAATACTCCAGCCAAGTTTGTTGGATGGACTTGGAAATAGAATTCTTAGTCCTGTATGGGATCAGACAGGAAAAGTATGGCAAACTTTATTAGATGAATTATCCGGTTCTTCAGAAGTGGTCGTGGTTGTTGGACATCCAACTCTTCACATCGCACTGATGACACATTGCCTAAATTTATCAGAACAGTGGCTAGGGTCATTCCATCTCGATGAAGGTAGTATTAGCGTTATTGACTTCCCTGATGGACCAAGTGGAAAAGGCATTATTCGATGCATAAATTACACTGCCCATTTAGGAAGATGGTCAATTCCCATCACTAAGCCAACATTGGATGAGGAAGAAATGAACTAATTGTTTCTCTGTATAGTGTGATTATTGAATAGATGCGAATACATATACGGTATACTGTTATCAACCAATGTTATGCAAAATTGTTATCAAAATTTGATTGTGATATAGTTTGATCCTTAAATACCCATTCATCGGTATTTAATCATCGAAACATGTGTACTAACATACTGAGTAGTGTGTACTCTGTCAATAATGCAATAGTTGCTGCAATTGTTGAGGCAATCAGATTGTTACTAATCAACTGAGTATTAAAAGACATTCTAGTAGAGCACTAGTTATACTATACATACATCTGAACTCAACTAAACATACAAACCCTAAATTTCACTAAAACCCCATGTTAATTTACGGAGAAAAAAAGTTAAATTAGTACTAATCAGATCATACCCTAATATGTTCAACCAAATTAACCCAATAATCAGAATTGTTAATGTGTTTCTTCATAACAAAGGCGCTCTTTTCCTTCTTATTCTTATTAGCATAAACAGAATTACTCTCAACACCATCACCACCAACCTTGATTTTCAAACAGCTCCTCTTCATGTTGTTCTTCATCTTCTTCCTCAAAGAAGCACCCACATTTTGTTGATCCATGATCATCCTCGTCGAATCGAGTTCTTCCCCATCTTTACTGCACTCTACTTTGCACATAAACAGAACAATGAAGAAGTATCAATGTCATATTCACAAGTAATACAACTCCCAGGATTTCCTATCAAATTATGATGCTTCTTAGATGATCTTAAATTAATATAATATACATCAGTACTATTAATGCTGTAACATTGAATCTTAGTAGCATCCAAAATATTAGACCCTAAACTCAATATGTTTTCTTTATTGTAGCAATACTGGTAAGTATTCTTCTTTGTTCTAAAAACTTTGTAATCTTTATGCTTTGCTTCCTTCTCTATTTCCAAATTTGAATTACCGCCACATTTAACACAAAAATAAAAGATATCAAATATAACTTGAACATGCATATATTATTATAAGCAGCAGCAAAGCTTAAACTTGAAGAACAGTGGAAGGCTAATGAGAAGATTGATTTTGGACAAAAAGAGTAAATCATTGTGAGTAGTTACCTAGCTCAATGACATGCTCCACATCTTCTGTGCTAGATAGAATTTTCATAGTTTCCTCTCGTGCTTCAAAGTTAGAAGAAGAATTTCCTGTAGTTTTCTCTTGTGCTGAAGAACTAGAAACAATCTCAGTGGTTCCTTTTCTGGATATAGGTCCAGATAATGGAGCAGAACTCTTCTGTGTATGCTGTTGTAAAGTATCGCCTTCCAGATTGCTTGAAGAAGGCAGTCTCATCACTCTCTATAGGTCCCCTTCATAATAAAACATACAGAAGGTTTAAATCAAATTGAAGAAATGTTTTTACTTGACCTTACCTGCAAGATGTTTCAAAGCACTAGCTTGATCAAACAATTCACTGGGGTGGATTATGTTCTCTTTCATTAGACCGTGAGAAGTAAGCAATTGTATTTCATAGAGAGTACAAATATCTGAGATACAGGATGCATATATGACACAGAATAAGCCAATTGCAGAACTTGAAAATTTATAACTGACATATGCTAACGAGTGCATAAATGAAAGACATGGTATTATCAGAACTACCTCCCCCAAATTACTACCAAAGTACTGATCTACAATTCAATATTTCAGACACCTTAAACCTTTACTAGTCTATTTTTTATTTCTACACTTATTTTTCAGTATTAGCCAACACCCTGCAGATTGAATACAATGTCAAAGATAACATATAAATGCCAAACAAAATGTTGTAGAAACCACATAGGAAAAAATATATTCCAGTCCTGGAGGTAGCAGCATCATACTTCATGAATATAAAGCACAACAGAATTATATTCCTTAATTTCAGTGCTGTAAGACAGTAAGAGATTATAATCAACATACTTTTTCTCTATCTGATCCTTCAGACAAAGTGTTAAAAACCAAATCAATTGTCTTTATTCCTAAATCCTTTTGCTAATTTATAAGCTGCCATGGTGTCATTGTAATCAATCATACTACATTACTACCAAATAAGCCATAATAGGCAATGAGAATAATACGACTAATGTGAAATTGCAGAGAGTAGAAACACAGTCCATTTCAAATTTAGACACGTAATCCCTCTGTCCCTTAAAAATTGCCCCGAGCAAGCTATAAGGGAGGAGGGAATAATACGACTAATGTGATATTGGCTTGAAGCTTCAGTACTCCCTAACTGATAAATCCTAGGCTCTTCTTCCACATTCAATACCTTCGATCTCCAATCATCCCTGAGTTTAAGAGTGAAGGCATCGTGGGAGAAGATGATGCAATTGCGGAGTTGACAACCAGGAAATTCCGCAGAAGCAGCAAAGAAGCAGTAGTTTTTAGACACAAACAACACCTGTTCATCATCTTCATCACCAAAACTCCGGACCTCAACCCATTGGCGTGAACAATGATTACCATTGGATAACTCGAAAACCCTTAAGCATTGCATACTCCTGCAAACTATATACAACTTTCCATCAGTTGATGACTCTACCAAACGCTTCCTACATCTATGGAACGATACATCATTCGTGACAACAGGAGCGTCAACCAAGGGTACTAGTACACATTTGTCAATACCCATTTTGTAGAGTTTTCCTTTTGAACTCAAGGCACAAACGGTTCCACTAAATTCAACAATATCATTTGTTTCTGAAAACAGACTCCTCCTAAGCGTGTTAGGGTAAGGTATCAAGATGTCCTAGAATCTAAGTTCAATTATTGTCCAAAAGTTTGAGAGCTCCGCCTTGCTAAGGTATGTCCGAGGGCTCCGCCTTGACGTCTGAGGGCTTCGCCTGCAAAACAGAGAAGGTTAGCTGCCCCGGGAGTGTGACCCAGGAAAGCCCCTCCGATGCTTAAGTGAGCGAATATACTTTCTAGAGAGAAAAAGTAGAGAGAGAGAGTTCTTAGAGAGAGAAAGTAGAGAGAGAAGGAGAGAGAATTAGAAAAAAGTATCCCTCATTAATAATTGGAGAGCTATTTATAGTTGTACTTTCAGGTGGCAAAACTGTACTTAGTTGTACAGGTTAAGGATAAATTCGTACTTTCCAATGATTAATGATGGGCTGGATCATGGAGGGATATTTTCGTCATTTCAGGTCACTGGGCTTAGGACAATGGACTAGGCCCAAACATTTAGCCCCACGCATGATATGTGAACGAGATCGCATGAAGTTCGGATGTCACGCGGAATGAGTGAAATTGAGGTTGAGAAGTTATCATGTGAGCCGGAATAGCTTTTAGGCGTACCTGAGGGCTAAAACGAGCCCCAGGCGTACCTGGGGGCTAAAAATGAGCCCCAAGCGACTTGCAAGGGTTGAAAACCAACCTCAGGTCATGCTTAATAGGTGTTTTGATTGCAATGACTGAGCGGTTTGAGAAATTATCCGAGAGGGAAGCTTGATAGTGGATGACGGTTTGCAGATAGCCGAAGACTTGTCAAATCTTAGTGAATTTCTAAGGGCCGATCCCCTGTATATCGCTGAAGGCATGATTTGTCTTGGATTTCGGCTAAGCTTGTATTAAGAATTTATTGATTACAGTTGAATGCTAATTAGCTTGTAATTAAGCTTAATCCTCTATTAGCGATATTCTGGGCTCAATTAACACTTGAGCCCATCAGAGCCAGGGATTTGAGGGGATCGCCTCTCCTCTCCTTTCAATATATGAGTTCCCACCTCATTTTCATTTGCCTCACATTCTTTCATTTGCCTTAGAGAAATTCACAAAATTTTCTCTCCAATTTCTCCCAAATCCTTGAGAGTTTGAGTGTTCAAGTCACATCGCTCGGGTTCATCCCAATTCATCAAGATCTTCAAGAGGTATGTGCTTGTGTTTATTTTAATTTTTTTTTTTAATTTTGGATATGAGAATGCCGAAGGCTAGAGGGTTGTTGGCTGAGAGGTTGATACCCCTCTTGCCAAGAGCCTAGCCTGCGACAAGGCCGAGAGAGAGGAGAATGCCGAGGGCCTAGGCTTGCGTGGTCGAGGGAGAAGCCGGCTAAGCACTCGGCATGTGTGCTGAGGGGATAGCGATGGCCGAGAGCTCGACTTTCCTTGCTTGGGAATGCCGAGCCGAGAGCTCAGGGTAGAGATAGGAGCAGGCTGAGTGCTAGGCTTCGCTGAGGAGGTAGCAACCCGAGGGATGTGAACTGAGGGCCTGCTGTTGTGCCGAGAGCTGGGGATTGTAGGACGGGGAGTGGCTCATAGCCCTTGGCGCATATACCGAAGTGCTGAGGCATGCCGAGGGCCTTTGGTAGCCGAATGCCGAGGGCCTTAAATAGCGACAGGCTGAGGGGTTGCCTGTTTTAGATATTTGCGGGGCCGAGAGATTTGATACGCTGAAGGTTGATAGTTCGACCTAATATGCCAAGCCGAGGAAGAAGAGAAAACTGAGAGAGTTGAGTTTTGAGAGCTAGGGGTAGCAAACCTTGGGGTTGGCTAGCTCCGAGTTTTCTGATTAGCCGAAGGCCTTGATGTGTCGAGGGCCTAATTTCCGAGGGGGTGCATGAGCTAACCGCCTGGCCATACGGGTAGGATGAGAGGTAGGCTTGTGGGGCGCTCGACTTCTTTACACAAGATGTGCGCTGGGCTGAGAACTCGGCCCATTTTAATAAAATATCCGCCATTTCCTTCTTAAATTTCAATTTTTTGAACTTTCTTGAGATGTGGCGAGAGAATTGGGTCGAGGGCTCTATTCAAATTCAAGGATAGTAGCAGGCCTAGAGATAAAAGGAGAGTAATGGCGGGTCGAGTGCACTAGAAAGCATAGCTAGCCCGGGTCTAAGCGTGAGGATTACTAGCTGAGCGCTTGGCTTGTTTAAGAGTTTATATTATGAAACTTCATCTCCGCTAGGCTTATTATAATAAAAACTATCAATTCAGTTTATAAGCTTAGCTACGGTTGAAGATGAACAATTTGAGTTACTTTTGGTACAATACATTTTAAGTTCAATTATAAGGTAATTTTAGTTCGGGACATATCGGGTATTGGGTCTGTTCGGGTCAATTTTGGGTATCGGGTCTGTTCAGGTCAAACACTTCGGGTCAATTTCGGGTCGGGTCAGTTCGGGTGTCGGGTCAGGTTCGGGTCAACTCCATTTTCGGGTCGGGTCAATTTCGGGTTTTGGGTCATTTTTGGGTCAATGTTTTCGGGTCATGGGTCGGGTCATTCGAGTCGGGTCATCGGGTCTGGGTCAGGATTGTCAGGTCTAGGCTTATCCATTGAGAATTTTTCTAACACTTTGAATGTTTTGTTGATGTAGGAGTACTCGCCTCGGGGTGCATTTGACTTGTTTGCAAGAAAGTCTTCCGGCCTCTTTGACCACTTGGTGAGCATCTAGTACTTAGTTTTTTTAACTCTAAGTATCATATCTTCACATTTAGTAATTGTGTGCCATTTTTCTTTGTATGCTTGAATGTTCCTCGGCTGCGCTATTGATGATGTTAGGCTTAGAGGTACGCCTGTCGTGCTTTTGTATGTACATTAGAACATCCTTCGAGTAATCTTGAGTTGAGCTGTGCATGTGTTATGAACGACCAAGCGACTCAAGATTATCCGGATTCTCTCCCCGACCATATGTCTTATATGACTTATCAAAGGAGATCTGGTCGGGTATGAGGCTTGTAACAAATGTGATTGGTAGTAGTGTTGATATGTCGATTCCTTCGGGTGTGCCACCTTTTTACATGCCATCCCCTCCCCCTATGCATGATTTAGGTTTTGATTATTACTTACCTCCTTCCCCTTGGGAAGTTTCTCTTACACGTGAACCAACTGTTAGGGATTGTTTGAACAGATTGCTTGTTAACGGTGTGGTGACTATGTCAAGTGAGGATGACACGTCTACTTCTTCTCTTGAAGCACCGGTGCCCTTTAGGCCGCCTGTTAGGAGGATTAGTCCCTCCATGTGCTTCCCTCGGCCACTTGGCTTAGATCTCTGTCGGAAGGGACTAGGCATTTGCAAATTAAGTATAGTATTAAGGAGCCTTTTCTCATTTCTCCCTCTGGGGGTGATAACACTGTAGATAACCCTCCGCCCGACTGTATAGATAGATGTATATAATTGTTTGGATAATGGGTTGAGGTTCCCTTTGCATCCATTTATTGAGGAGTTGTTAATAGAGTATAACTTGTGCATTACCCAGCTTGTTCCTAACTCCTAGTTGACAATAAACGCCTTTATAGCAACTTGTAGTATACTCGGCGTACCTTGTACCATCACTTCCTTTAGGAACACCCATAGGCTTTAGGAAATCTCGGGTAATGCCGACAGCCACAGGTGGTATGCTTTTCACGATAGGGAGTTCTACCTTACCATACACACAAAGCCTTTTAGCCAAAAGGGCTTCTGCCACACCTTTCTTTTCATTTTCCATGCGAGGGGTTGGAGAATACCCCGAGACCATAGCGGCTTACCTAGGGTTGGCTTGAACTATAATCACTAGTGGAAAAAAAGACATTTGCTACGGTTTTTTTTTGAGGTAATTGCTATGGATTTGAACCGTAGAACTAGTGGGCGTAGCGAATAAGGAAAACTATAAACCGTAGTAATTTTAAGTGTTTTGCTGTGGTTTTTTTAAAAAACCGTAGCGTTTTTGCATTTTTTGCTGCGGTTTTTTTGAAAAAACCGTAACCTTGCTATTTTATGCTACGGGTTTTTTGTATGAACCGTAGCAATAAGTGGCCCCAAAAAAATAATTTTTTTTTCTTTTCTTTTTGCATTTTTAAAGCTTAATAAATGATGATTGTATAATATATAGAAAAAAAAATTTCATAGAATTAATCTTAATTATACAATGTAAACTTTTTACAAATAAGAGAACTTTACAAATAAGACTAGTAGTCTATTCAACAAACGAAAGCAGCAACATCAACAACTTTGGACAGCAACATATGGACTTTGCACAGTTTGATCGAATAAGAACACAAGCATGCTCGATCTTTTCACTAGTAGAAAAAGGCAAATAGGCACTGGCCATTCAAAACCTACTTAGGGCACCACAGAGGCAGAACAACAGCAGCACAGAAGTGGCAGCAGCATCAAAGACAGAAGCAGCATCAATGTCATATAATGCATCAACTGCAATACATTAACCAGCAAGTTGAACAGTGAGATAGGACTCATAACCTGCAACTGCAACAATGCAGCGACTTAGGGTCAAAAGCAACTATTTTATACTTTAGCATATTATAAAAGTAGCAGCCACCTCTTGAAGGTCAATTATCGACTCTCAAATATATACAATAACTCCTGAATACAATGATGGAGCATGCAAGTTTATAGCAGTTCAACAAAGATCATGCACACAAACACACACACATACAAGGGGGGAGGGGAGGTAAAAAGAGAGAACTCTGATCAAATATATCAGTCATTTGTACAACCTCAAAAAAATTGGATCCCTATAAAATGTAATATCAGATACCAGAAAAAGGAAATCAGATATCAAAATTCAGATCCACATGATAAAGAGATCAAAGAATATTGCAGATATATCCTTACTTTGGGAGTAAGGAAAATAAGAGCATTAACTCCAAAAAAGGTCAACAATGATCAAACACGTGATAATATCAAAATTAAAGGATTTACGAAACTGCCACTGTGAGAAACAAAAACGTTTCTCACAGTGAGTAACAGAGATTTACTGTATAATATCATGAAAACGTGTTCAGCACAAAATAGACCTAACCTTGACCAACAGTATATCACATCCATCAAGTGAATTTATAATTAATTGATGAGATGCAATATAGAAATTAAACATCCAAACAAACCCAAGAGATCTGAAAAATAAACACTGTATGTGTGTGCGTGTGTGTGCATTGCAATACTCAGATTTCTATTAACCCAAGGAACCCATGAAAATAAGATAAAAAGATCACAAACTTAGGCTATATAAGGCACTAAGATATGATATTGTAATTGATTATGAGCGGCCTTAGTATTTTAGTCAATCATAGCAATAAAGTTCTAGAACTTGGGCCTTAGTATGCACAAGATGAATACAGTATGATCAAACAACAAAAATGCTGTTGATACTTCCATTAAGATGTCTTACTATCACAACCTCACAAATAAATGAAATAAAAGAAAGATAAAAAAGAGGAGTTGGTTAGATGAATGCAAGCTGAAGGTTCAATGGGCACTCAAGAGGGGGGGGGGGGTGAATTGAGTGTTAAGTAATCGTTAGCGATTTTTGCTTCTTTTCGGATTATGTGTAAGGAACCAGTTGTGCTGGTTCCCTTATGCAGCGGAATAAAACAAAGCAATAAAGAACACAACAAATTTAACGAGGTTCAGCCAACTCAGGCCTACGTCCTCCTATCCTAAGTCCTTTATTAATCTACTCCGAAAAACAAAGACAAAGAACACTCTACTGTTTCCCTACTCCGGGAACCAGTCTACCCCACACTCTACTCCGAGTGTGCTCTCGACTTACACTCGTAAGCCCAATGTGTTTGAACTCACAAACACTCACCCAGCCTTTAACCCCTTTGTTAAAGACTCAATACAAGAATCAAGAACTCTCCTTTGATCTCACTTCTACGAAGCTAATTAAGAGAAAATGTTTTTGTACTAGAATGCTCTTGTATATGACTTGATGAATGGGATTAGTGCTTAAGTATATGCTCTCAAATAATTGCTCTTTTTAATTTCTGGAGAGGCACACGAAATATGTGAAATAAGATGAGTTTATATAAGCTTAGATTCCTAAAACCTAGTTTCCTTAAATCACACAATCTTAGAGAATAAGATATATTGTAATTTTAGGAAAGTATTTATCTTATTTGATTTAATCACAAAGATAGAATCAATTAAGATAAATACTCCTAGTTTTTAGGTAACCAAGAATATTTCATCTTATTTCCAGCTGCACAAAATATTTTCAAAATAATCTTTTCGAAAAAAAATCTTTTTGTAAAATCTTTTTCCAAAACGGCAGCTCGAATATTTCGTACAGTGAACCTGGTTCCCCGACCTGGTTCCCTGAATTGAAACATGTTATGAAACCTGTTCCAACTTTGTACCAGATTTCATATCATACTTCAATATACTTTTAAGCACTTATATAACCCAAACATGCAAGCATACTACGGAGCATATTACATGAAAACCTAGATAACATATTAAAGCATAAATCGTCTTTTCTTCATGTAATCTTCAAGACTTGAATCTTCCTTGAATACTTCTATTATGAGCAAACAATCTTTCTTCGAAATATCTTCGAAAGGCTTCTATGCTCCAAGTCTTGGAATCAACTCAACTACTGCACATGTAACATGGTTAATGCACAATAAAGAGTATGTGACTGCTTTTCCGCATAGCAGTCAAGGAAACGGTTCATACTGGTTCCCCACCAGTACATAGCACATTTATCATCTAACTGTTTCCTGTATATAGATAAGTTAGTTCAATAGATAACTCATATAATCAATAACTTATCTAGGAAAACAGTGTTCTATTTTAGTTGGTTCCCCCAACTGTATTGAACACTTTCAAAGACCTGTTTCCCTTAGCTGTTTGTCATCATTCAAAACTATCAATCAAAACCTAAGGGACTCAACAAATTCCCCCTTTTTGATGATGACAAACTCTTGAAGTTCTTGAACCTGTGGACATGCTCAAAAAGAAAACCGTCAAAAACTTCAAGGACTCAAAACTCTTTGGAACAAGTCAGTTAGGCTAACTGGTCCCCTAAACTAGCTAGCTAAACCTTAGGCTTCAACTTCAAACCACTTCCCCCTTTTGGCATCATTAAAAAGTATCCACAAGTAAAAGCAATGTGCACAAGTTAATGTGCTTATCCATACAATGGCATCAACCACCATTCAAGCATTATGCTGCAAAAAGAGATTAGTCAAACAGTTCATACCATAGCAGAGTTAGTAGTTCATACAAGCCAACAAAGTTCAACCAAAGAAGCCCAAATCCATCCAAAAAGAAAGTTCATGGAATGGAGAGAAGTAGACAGACCAACAAAATCAGTTATTTTAGAATAAACATGAGGGTGAGGAAACAAGAACAGAAACAGCATCACTCCTCATCATCATTCTCGTTCCCTTCCTCCTCCTCGAACTTTGCAACATCTTTTGTATTATCATCTGATTCCTCTTCATCCTTGGCACCATGCTCTGCTTAAACCAAAATCATTATATTACTAAGCATATTCTTGTGATTCCCCAATCTGTTTCAAAACCACTTCCTGACCTGCTGGTTCCTCTATTTTTTTTTTTTTTTTTTTTTTTTTTTTTATAAATCATGAGAGATCCGCACTTATTCATAAAGTTCTCCTTGTTGCATAACGAGTACAAGACTAGCATCACATCAATCAAGCAAAGACCTCCACCCTTTTGTGGTGTGAAAGGTTCTTGCTGGTACCCTTTTTCTCTTGGTTTCCGGAAGAGAATTAATGGACTGTTCCTCCTACACCTTCTCAGTGAACTTCTTTAATGAAGATTGAGTTACTCTACTTCGTACCATGGTCTTAACAATGAGTGTCTCCTCATTGTAACCAACAATCTCTATTTCATCCTCTTCACTCTGACTTTTCCGAATTTCCTCCAACTTCGGGCTTAAGGACATTTGAGCTTCCTTCTGATGTTCCCCCTGAGACTGAGTTGGTTCCTTGAGTGAACAGTAACCGAATGAACAATGATGAATTTAAAGCATACGAGAGAGAGAAAGAGAATTTCGAGTGATGATGATTGATGATCTGCACAAAGGGTTAGTGTATATTTTTAACAATGAAGCACAAAGAGAGAAGAAGGAAAGAAAAGAGTTAGTTGAGCCAATAAAAAGCAACTGTAAAGGATATTTTTTTTTATTTTTTTTTTTAAATTGAAATCAAAAATTTGGTAATTATCTTTTACCATAATTATCTCAACCAACTATAAATAAGGCATATGATATGTTTGCCTTTTATATGGGATTAAATAACTGAAATAAGATAAATTCCTTCCAAAAGGAAATATCTTATAGTAATCTTCCGAAAATAAAAGATATTATCGGATGACATATCAGAGCTGGTCTGCTGTTTCCCTTTGCTGGTACCTGTATAGAACCATGTCACGCTGTTTCTGGCAATTCAGCCTGATTTCACCTGTTTCTTACAACAATGATTCTCAATCCTTTTGAGATTTTGAACCATCTACACAACACTTGAAAGATATCAACATAAGTATGTACACACACTATACAAGAGAATACCATTCTAACCAATCATTGAAGGAAGTAATTGAAGCCAATACCTAAAATCTAACTAGACCTAAAAGGACTCTTAACCTACAAAAAGACTCTCTACACAAAGGCTTTGTGAAGATATCAGCAATTTGATCTTCACTTTTACAAAACAACATCTCCACCAATCCTTTTTCCACATTGTCTCTTAAAAAATGGTGTCTTATTTCAATGTGTTTTGTCTTGGAGTGTTGCACAGGATTCTTTGAAATATTGATTGCACTAGTGTTATCACAAAAATAGGAACACTTTTATAAATAACACCAAAATCTTTCAGCTGGTTCCTTATCCACAGTAGCTGGAAACAGCATGAAGCTGCAGCTATATATTCAGACTCTGCTGTGGATAGGGCCACTGAATTTTGCTTTTTAGAACCCCATGAAATTAGACAAGAGCCAAGAAAGTGTGCCATACCTGATGTGCTCTTTCTATCAACTAAGAAACCAGCATAATCTGCATCTGTGTATCCAATAAGATCAATGGTACTGCCTTTGGGGTACCACAATCCCAGATTTGCTGTTCCTACAAGATACCTAAGTATCCTTCTAACAGCCTTCAAGTGAGATTCCTTTGGATTGCTTTGAAACCTAGCACACAAACCAACAGAAAACACAATGTCAGGTCTACTAGCTGTTAGGTAAAGTAGAGAACCTATCATTCCTCTATAAAGAGAAGCTTCAACATCTTTTCCCTTAAGATCAGCATCTAATTTTGTAGATGGGGGAACAGGTGTATCATAAGCTTTGCTGTTCTCCATGCCGAATTTTTTCAGCAACTCTTTTAAGTACTTTTGTTGATGGATCATTATTCCATCATCCATTTGCTTAATCTGCAGCCCTAGGAAGAATCCTAGTTCTCCCATCATGCTCATTTCAAATTCACTCTGCATAAGATTAGCAAATTCATCACATAAAACCTGATTAGTAGCACCAAATAAAATATCATCAACATAAATTTGTACTACAATCAAGTGTTTCCCCCTGGTTCTTATGAACAAGGTCTTGTCTACTGTTCCCCTCTTGTAATCATTTGCCATCAAGAAATTTGACAATCTTTCATACCAAGCCCTCGGAGCTTGTTTCAACCCATATAATGCTTTGTCCAACTTGTACACATGTTGGGGGAACAGTGCATCTTCAAAACCAGGTGGCTGCTCCACATATACTTCTTCCTTTAAATATCCATTGAGGAAGGCAGTCTTTACATCCATCTGAAACAGCTTAAAATTCATGTGAGCAGCATAAGCAATTAAAATCCTAATAGCCTCTAGCCTAGCTACTGGTGCAAACGTCTCATCATAGTCAATTCCTTCTTGTTGATTGTACCCTTGCACCACTAGCCTTGCTTTGTTTCTGACTATAGTACCAAGGTCATCTAACTTGTTTCTAAAGACCCATCTAGTGCCAATGACTGATCTTTCCTTGGGACGGGGAACCAGGTGCCAAACCTGGTTCCTCTGAAACTGATTTAACTCATCTTGCATAGCTAGTACCCAATCAGGATCAGTCAATGCCATTTTATAGTCAGTAGGCTCTACATTAGACAGGAAAGAATAGAAAGCACAAAAGTTTTGAAAAACATTTGTTCTCGTTTGAATCCCCTTATTTATATCACTAATTATTTGATCAGTGGGATGAGAAGATTGATATCTATAACTTTTAAAATTAAGACTGTTTTGTGCTTTCTCATTAAGTTGGGAACCAGCATGTTCATGGATCTCTCCTTCTTCTGAGGAGCCAGGAGGATTCACATTCATGCTGTTTCCTCTATCATTACTTACCTCAGGTTCAGGGGTGGTACCTTCTTCTGTTCCCCCTGAACTCATTACCTGTCTATTATTTGAGGAACCATCAGGACTTGGTTCCCCTTCAGAGTCCTCATTATCTTCATTTTCTTCTCTA